TGACCTGAGCTGAAGTCGGATGCTTAATCGACCGAGCCACCCAGACGCCCCACTTACCAAACTTTTATAAAATGGTTAACAGTTGTGCAAATTAATTAGGAAGTGTTTTTGCACACCGAACATGTCTAAAAATTAAACTAATGACAATAATTTACTGGGAGTTAATAATTTATGTGGACAAAGATGGTCACACTGCAGTGTTACTGATACAACAGAATGACCAGGAGCACCTCATGGAGTCACTGCTTCAGCTCCCCCTGCACTACTGTCGGCTTGCCAGGGTGCTTAGCCTGTCTTAGTGTGCTTAGTGTCTTAGTCTGCTTAAGTGTGCGCCTTCCCGAGAAGACAATAAACTTTGAGGACAGGGAACTTGCTCTTATCACAGTGCCTGACACATTTTAAGTACTTACTAAATATTTAAGGAATGCTGGAGTAAATTATAGTACATCCATTAGATGGAATTTATACAAAAATAAAAAATCATGATCTCATGGCTCGTAAGTTTGAGCCCCGTGTCGGGCTCTGTGCTGGCAGCCTGGAGCCTGCTTTCAGATTCTGTCTCTGTCTCTGTCTCTCTGCCCCTCCCCCGCTCACACTCTGTCTCTCTCTCAAAAATGAATAAATGTTAAAAAAAATTTTTTTAAATAAAAAATAAGGACAAATAGCAACTCTGAAATAAGGCTTTTAAGGTAACGGTCAAAAAACAACAGGCTAAAGCATTTTAGCTACTCGTGAGTAAACTTAAATCATGCACGCAGACTGAAGAAAGTACATCAAGATATGTTAGCACAGCATGCTTCAGGTCACTATGTGTTTCTTTCACCCTTTATTTAAATTTTTTAAATGTTTATTTTTGAGAGAGAGCGAGCAAGCAGGCGTGAGTGGGGGAGGGGCAGAGAGAAAGGGAGACATGGAATCTAAAGCAGGCTCCAAGCTCTGAGCTTTCAGCACAGAGCTGGACGCAGGGCTCGAACTCACAAACCCAAAGATCATGACCTGAGCCGAAGTCGGACGCTCAACCGACTGAGCCACCCAGGCGCCCCTCTCTGAATCTTTAAAACATGGTTATATACCCATACATGTTCCTTGCTGAATGGGAACGGAAGGGTGGTCGTTTTGAGAAGGTGGGGAATGGGGGGTTTGCAGGGAGAGGTCCAGGGCAGAGGCAAGGGCGGGAGGCTTACGTGGGCAGCTTTGAGAAATGAGAGCTTCAGCAAGGCACCAGCACAGCCGTTCTGCAGCGCCAGCAGGAAGGCTGCCCGTGGCCCAAACAGCTCCGAGCTCGACTTCTGCAGATTATGGAAGTGTTCACAGTAACGCGGTACAAAGTCACCATCCCGCCAGCGTGAGGTCAGAAAGTTGTTCACCTGGAGGAGAGCGGCTGCAGTGTGAAGGGACAGCCCAGCATGCCACCAGACAGTTGTACCCTCCCTCCCCGGCACCCGCCCCTGCCCACCTGCTCCTCCACCACGGCCCGCCAGCAGCGGGTCAGGTTTCTCACGATGCTGCTGGGAAGCCCCCGGGTAGCCAGGGAGCTCCAGTCATGGCTTCTGTTTCTGCCCTCTGTGGAGACAGGGGAGGGGGCAGAGGCAAGGTGGGAGCAGCCCCTCAGCTCAGCGTGAGCCCCAGGGCTGTTCCTGACCTCCTGCCACCCCAGAATGATGCTCCTGAGCGGGGGTGAAACAAACAGGTGAACAGGCTTAGTGGGTAGGGAGGGAAAGCGGGAGGAGGGACAGAAGGCCATCCTAACCGAGCTCCCACCTGAATCTCAGGTACTCACTGGGCCGGGGAGTGGCCACCGCTGGAGGGGGCGCCTCACAGGGCTCCACGTGCACCAGCAGGTGGGTGAGGCGGCGCACCCGTGAGGAGAAAGCAGCTGCGCGGCTCTGGGGATTGTGGGCAGCCTCCCGACACTCCAGGTACTGGTCCAGCAGCCAGCCCAGGGGGCTGATGCCATCCTCATCTGGAGATTGGGAAAAACAAGCCATGGTGGGCCATGTCTCTAGGGCAGGGGAAGAGGACGAAAGCACCAAGAAAGGGATTGGACAGAACATATGGGGTTGGCACAGGTAGCAAGGCCCACCTGTCCTTATGGTGTCAGCTGACACCTGGGAGATGTAGGAAAGGAGGTGGTTAGGAGAAGGGGGGCACTGGGCTACCAAACAAACATAGGTACCAAAAGGGCCAAGGGCATAATATAGGTGGCTCTGGGGCAGAACAAGAAGGGGCCGGTTAGTGGGGCCAGGGGTCGCAATGGTTACCAGGGGAGGTGATGTTCTGCACCAGGGGGCTGACCAGGGCCTCCCAGCAGGTCTTGCCCAGCGCTTGGGCGGCCTCATCGTCAGGGAGGAAGCGATCAGCAAAATTCTGCTCCTGACGCAGAGCCCCATTGAGCCTGGGGGTGAGGATGGGGGAGGCAGGTGTCAGAGGCTCAAGATGTAAGTTATCCTAGCATCTTCCCAGCCTAATGGTGGGGTAGCCCCTACCAACCAGACCAAATCCCCACCCAGTACTTTGAAGTTGTCCCATGTTAACAGACACATCCCACTCCCAATCCACCAAAGAAATCTTTCTTTCCTTCCCCAAACTGTAGAGCACGCCAGCCCCTTTCCCAAACATGTTAGCTCTCCATCTATACCTTCCACAGAAGGGCCAGGGCCACCCATAATAGTCTTACCTGCCACACACACACAGCCACACACACATGCTCGCACACACCTAGAACTCAGGTGCAGGAGGCTCCTGCGGTCCTCTGCTATGTCCTGGCTCCAAGCCTGTGCCCGAACCATGTAGAAGAGGCGTGTGTGACGACACAGCTGCTCCCGAAACACTGGCCAGAATGTGGGCTTAGGGCCTAGGACCTCCAACCCCCGAATGCGTGTGTCGATGCCGCCCTGCAATGTGCACATGCCTATTTTCACCTGCTCTGATCCTCCTCAGAGCGGGCTGGGGTCAGCCACACCTTTGGGCCTTATTCCTGGAGCTGCCCAGGGCCTAGCCTGGAGCTCTGGCTCACGATCTGCAACAGTTACACAACCCAGAGCTCTGTGTCCCCGGACCACACCCCATACTCCTGCCAAACCTGCTGGCAGCGCTTTATGCGGATCTGGATGATGGGCCAGAAGTGGGTCAGGTTCTCCAGGAGGATCACCCGGCTGGCTGAGGGCATCACGTTCACCTGGTTGGGGGCAGAGAGTGCTGTCACCTCCATGTGTGTGGATGGGAATGCTGAGGGCACTCAAGCCTGCTCCTGTTCTGTCCTTCCCTAGCCTGGGGTGCAGGGTCCTGGACAAAGGGGATGCCATCCTCACTGCTCAGGGCCTGATGCCATTACATAGGCACAGGGAGAAAGGACTCTACATTCTAGGGGGTGCAAGACGGAAGAATTTAGGAGTTTAGGAGTCTGGGCAGGAGGGCGGACCCTGTGAAGGTGGTCTCATGGTATAGGGGTCCCTACCGAGTTGAGCTCTGTGTTAAGAGAGTTGGTGCTGTCGCCCCCAAACACCACCACCCTGGCCGGCATATAGCTCGAGTCTTCACTAGCCACCAGGAGAGTCAGCTGCCTGGGAGCAGGGAAAAGGAAACAATCAGAACTGGAACCAGTAGGGTCCTTGTAGACAGAGGCAAGGGGACTCTTTGGTCATGTTTATGTTGGGCGGGGGGAGCAGTGCTTCCCCCAAACAAACAAAGGGAAGCTTCCACAGTATATAGTGGCACGCTGAGCACATACATGGGGCCTGTTACCTGACGAGGATGCCCTGGTGCATGTGCAAGGTGATGTAGTGGGAGCCGGCGCTGCCATTGGACTCCCAATAGGTCTTGGGGTTTCGATCCGTCAGCTTATGCTGGGTCTGGAAAAGTGGTTGGAAGACACCTCCACCTTCTCCAGCACTTGTCCTCCTTCATTTCCACGCTGGAGCCTGGGGGCAAGTGGGAAGGGGTGGCCGTCACAGCCTGGTAGGTGTGGAGGGAAAACAGGGGCGGAGGGGTGTGGAGTAACGTGGGGGCAGGCACAGACCCTGGCACAGATATCTGAGGAACACGTCAAAGAAGGGGATGTTGATGGGTCGGTGGGTTCGTCTGTGGTCTTCGATCTGGCCCAACACCATCTGCAGCCGGAACATTGGAGAGAAGGGGTGCGGGGAGGAGGGAGGGCACACATGGAGGACACATGGGAACACATATGAAGGAAAGACCCAGCAGCAATGGGACTTCCTCCAGAACCCTGGCAGAGGCAGAGTGGGAGATGCGGAAGGTGGTGCAGAGAACAAATGCCCACAGGCTCATCAGACTCTCCTGTCTTTCCCAAATTCAGGAACACGGCCCCTTCCTCCGGTCCCACTCAGGTTTCATATTCTTACCCAGCTGCGAACCCACAGCCTCCCTCTGCCCTCTTTCCTGACCTGGATGCAGCCTCCCAGGATGTTGGTGGTGAGTTTCCGGTAGAGGTGGGCATGCTTCTCACACTTGAACACCATGTCCCGCAGCTCCTGAGCCAGATCCAGTTTTCCCAGGTGCTTTTCCAGTGCCTTGGAGATGGCATCTCGGGCTCCCAGCTGATTCAGCACCACGGCATAGTCCCTGCTCACAGAGGCCAGGCGGTGCAGGAAGAAGATGAGTTCCTGGAGCACCTGACATGGGGACAGGGTGGGTGCATAAAGGGCACAAGGCACAGGCCACAGGGCATCTTCAGTAGTATTTACTCTACACCCGCTGGGTGCCGGGGCAACTGCAGTGAAAAGACAGAGTGAGGAAGTAAAAAGGCAGGAAGCGGGGAGACACGAGGGCTGAGTGGAGTTAGAGAACCTAAGGCAAACAGATAAGGAAAAGCTAAGAGATGCTCTGCCATCCTGGGGTTCTCAACCACTGATTTTGTTGGCAATGGGTGCAGAGAGCTTCCCAGGTTCCCTTTTAGGCTGTGTCCCAAGAACCAGTTGTGGGGCTGCATTTTGAGATGCTCAGGCCCTAAGCACAGGCAGGGAGGGGGCACAGAGGGACACCCAATGAGCCTACCTCTGAAACGAAAACCTGGGTAACAGCCCAAAGGTGTGCACTGCAGACACCCACTGCCAAGCCTTGCAAGCCCAGGACCTCCCTGTGGCAGGAGACTCTGAGATGTGATGTCCTCTCTACCTCCTTCATCCACCTTATCCCCACAGGCCCAGCCAAACAGGAGGTACCGAGGCTTTTACTGTAATACAGACATAACCTTTTGTGTAAGAAAGGAGATGGCATGTAAGATCACACACTTGGGTTTGCTTATATTTGCATTTGCATAAGGATACACCAGAAGGACACATAAATTAATACAAATGGTAACCAATAAGGTACATACGGAGAAGCACTGGGAAAATTGGGTGGAAGTGAGAAGAGGTAGAAGTGGGAATTCTCAGTGTATACCTTGTTGTACTGTTTTGATTTGTGACCTGTATGAATGTATTACCTATCTGAAAAAATAAAATTCAGTTTTAAAAACAAATTCCAAACCAAGAGCGCAAAGGCTCCATTGTGCCCTCCCAAGCCTCGCCCAGGGAGGGGGTCTGCCTCATCAGAGGCTGCCCTACGCCCTCTCCCTCTAGCGTCTCCCCGGAGCAGGGCAGGGGTACCTCTCGGTCAGTGTCTGGTGACCGCAGGCAGGCCATGCAGGCATCCATGGCCTCATGCCAGGGGAGCAGCAGCGCCTCGGGGAAGTCCACCAGCTGCATCAGGATCCTGGGGAGCAGGCGGCAGCAGCAGAGAGATGTGTAGCCAGCCTCAAAGACCCCTTTGCCAAATGCCCCTCCCCACCCCCTCACCTCAGAACGGTCAGGTGCAGGGCCTTGTTGGCCGCTGGGGTGTCGAGGCCCCGCATCAGGGTGAGGAAGGGCTGGGGCTGCCTCTGCAGCTGCAGCAGGAGTGGCTTGATCTCCATCTCCCGAGGCCCCTCTGAGCTGAGGGCTCGCTCCAGGTCCAGGAAGATTCTGCCAGGCAGACCGCAGCCCTCCATCAGTCGCCTCAGAGGAGTGTCAGGACACTGAGTTGGGGGTTCTTTTCCTATGGGAAGATGGAAGTTACAAAGGTTGGCCATTGTCGGTGATGTTAGGATGAGAAAAGGACAGATTCATAATTCCTAGTGCCTCCTAAAAACGTTTTTTTTTTGGCCCCCCTAAAAGTTAGGTTTGGGGATCTTAGGGCATCTCTGAATGCATTTATAAGACAATTTTGTGACAGACGTTATGTTTTATATTCTTAAAATAGCAAAGGAGCTTCCTGTCTGCAAACAGCAGAGCATTTCCCTGTATCTAAAAGCATGCAATAATTTGGCTTTCTCTACACTAGAAAAAGTCCAATGTGGGGACTTTTTTTTTTTTTTTTTTGGGAGAGAGAGAGAGGACAGGGGAAGGGCAGAGAGAGAATCTTAAGTAGGCTTCGCACTGGGCGTGGGGCTCGATCTCATGACTCTTGGATCATGACCTGAGTGGAAATCAAGAGTTGAACAACGAACCAACTGAGCCGCCCACAGGCGCCCCCAAACGTGGGGGCTTTTAAAGGCTCAAATCTCTTGCAATTTTCTGACTTTCCATCCTCCCTCACTCATTGGAGGGAGCGACTCTAAGCTTCAGATTCTTCCTAAGATGCCACCTGTTCCAGACGGGATTGCACAAAAACCGCACAGATGCCTCTCCTGGGCTAGCACTCTCCTAGAGCCAGTCTGCAGAGCTGCAGGGTCTTTTTGGCATCCCACCTTCCACTCTGGATGCATCTGCTGATTCCTGAGGCTGGGCCTGGGCTTCCGGCAGGGTTGGGTAAGCTGGCTGCCCTGCCAGGGCCTCAGGCCCATATTTCCTGTAGACACGGCAGTTGAGCAGGTCCCTGAGAGCGCTGTCATCGAGTCGCTGTGGCAGAGCCAGCAGTAGGTGCTGGGCCAACTCCATGGGCACAGCCAGCTCAGCCAGGATCTCGTCATCCAGAATCTGTCATCGGGGAGAAGCTCTCACTGTAGGTAGCCCTGCTGGCACAGAGGCTCCAGGGGCAGTTGGTAGGGGTGGGGATCTCTACACACATCCTCTCCTTGAGGAACCTCTCATGGCTGGCAGCTGCCTTTTCTCACACAGCTTGCCAATGCCTCTGAACATTCTAGATCTCTTCCCTGCAGCTCCTTACAACTGTGGACCTCCACTCCCCATCCTCAGCCTTCAAATGCTCTGTCACAGTCCAGCCCTTGCAGTGAGCCCTCCAACTTCTGGGTGTCCGGACTGGCTCTACCTCCCCATCCAGGTTCTCCTGAAGGATCTGGAGAACCTCCTGATGATCGGGTCCATCCAGCTTCTTGATGAAGAAGAGGAGCTCCCACCATTCCGCCTGGGTCAAGTGTTCACTTTCTTCAGCATCCTCATCCTCAGGCAGCACGTAGGGCACCGCATAGAGCTCTGTCATGGGCTTCCACCGCCAGGAGGGCAAGGCTGTGGCTACAGGTCACAGGGCACGGGGATGTCACTGCCCACCCAGCCAGACCACTGTTCCTTTGCTCAGCGCTGACCCTGTTTTCTCCCAGGGCTCACCTATACCCAGGGCTCCACTGGCCACAGCCCCATGGTTCTCATCAGCCTCAACCACATCTTCAATGTCTTCCTCAAAGCCCAGAATTTCCAGCATGTGCCAGTGTACCCAGTAGGTGCGGCCTGTCGACTCCCACAACACCTGGAGGATATGGGAAAAAAGAGAAGGGGAAGAGAAGGCTCACTCAACAACTGGCTGTGGCCCAATGATGAGGACATACAGCCCTCAGGCTGACCACCTGACCAGGTCTGGAACAACCTCCAAATAACAACGCTGGCATATGGAGAACATGAACACACACACAAAGGATGCCTTCTCCTCTGGGGATGGGCTCTGCTTCTCCTCCCACCCTATCCTTTGATGGCTCATGCTCCCCGCACTTCCTCCTGGCCTCACCTACTCTCTCCCTGACCCTGACCTTTAGGAAAGTCTTGCTATATCAATATGTTTCTTCCTGGGAGTGAGTCTTCCTGACCTGATAGCTCCCTCAACTCCAACTTTCTCAGCTCTCCAATGGCTCCCTTCTCAACTGTTGATCCCCTTTAACCATTCCAGTCCCCATGGGGGCTTTCTCAGTGGGTGGCCTGCCAGAGCCCCCTGCACAGAACCCCAGTTATACTTCCCCAGCTAAATCCCCAACAGTGTCCCACACGCACCCTCACTCACCTGCACGGGGGGCACGCCGTTGTTGCTCTGCCGGAACTCACCCTCGTCCCCAGCGCTGACCTCCTCGTAGTCATCCAGCATGCGAACTCGCATCCCGGCCTGCAGCGTCTCTTGCACGTACAAGGCATAAGTATTGCCACTTGCAAACTCAGAGCGAGGGCGGAACCTCCTTGACCTCCTAATGGAGGGCCGGACCCGGGCGGGTGGCAGCCCTGGGCCGGCCTCTGCCAGCTGGGGCTGGAAGATGGAGCACGAAGACCGTGCCGAGGGCCCCTGTTTGCTCGAGGCCCAGTCCCAGCGCATGGCCTGCACAAGCTCTGAGATGAGGGTGCCCATGGCCATGCTGAACTCCAGCTCCAGTCGACCCCTCTCCCCACTCAACTCCTCGGGAGCAGAGTTGTTCTGGGCTCCTGGTTCTGCAGCACTGTCATTCAGCTGGTCCAGAAGAGAAGTGACATGCAAATAGCGCTTCACCAGGGAGAAGAGAAGCCTTCCTGGGACCTGTAGGATGCAACCTTTGGCCTATGTCCACCTTGTCCCAGCTCTAGCTCCCCTTTCCACACCACCCTTCAAGGGTGGGTGCAAAGGTCTGGTCCCTAGATCTTGTCCACAGGCCCCCCCCCCACCTCCC